ATTCAGGTGGTAGGTGCATTTTGAGCATTTCCATCAGTCCTGAGAGTTTCATCGTTCTACCTCGAATATTACGGAAGATACGGGGGTGTTTCCATGAGAAGTGAGACACACTGTATAAGCAATTAAAAATTGCGGAAATTTAAAATATTTTTCATTTTGCCGTAATCGCACCTATAGGGCTCAAATTTGCCTTGAATTTGTCTTTTAACGCCCTTCATTAAACATTTTTTTTGTGCAATAATTTTTTTTGCGAGATTTGCGAATATTCGCAAACAACGAGAAAAATGTTCCGTTGAAAGTTGACAAAGGCAACTCATGGACTCCTGATCTATGCGAAAATGAAGTTTTGTTTATTGTTTTCAACACATTTTTTCAAATAATAATAATTTTTCTGTACTCTCTTAGTCATTTGACCAAATATATTTAACCACAAGCAAACATTTTTTGAAGGTAAAGTATAGTATCAAGTACCTTAGTATGTTTTTGTGAATAATGAACCTTTGCTAGACGTATACAAATACAGAATACTCTCAAAGAAGTTCTCATTGATTTGATTGATTCTTCGGATATTGGTCTATTTGACGCGTTATTAAATACCCAGAAACTTGTTGTTTCAATTTTTATGTTTCTACGGAAAAGGACATCTTTGGTTCAACAATTTATCTGTATATTCAACGAGCGACACAAATCGCTTTTAACTCATTTTTCAACAAAATGAATATAGACACTGTAATAGAGAACTTTAGACAGATGTGAAAATTTACTATATATTAGTTAGTACAATTACTTACTGATTTAACATTTATGAAAAGAGCTGAGAAATTGTGCAGATACTTAGTCTTAGGAACTGCTTAAAATACTTCTGACATACCAGGTCTGTTCAAATGAAGTGAATGTTCAAATTGTGTCAGAAAAATGTTTACAAGTAGTAGAAACTCTTCACAAAAGATTCAAAAGATGTGAATGACTACGCTCGCTCTGGGCGCCTCAGCACATCAGTATCTGATGAAAATGTAGAGAAAGTTAAGAAAATTGTTATGGAGAATCGTCGAATCAATATTAGAGAAGTTGCTGAGGATGTCGGCATGAAGCGTGTTGCAGCAAAATTTGTTCAAAAACTGCTGAATAATGACCAAAAAAACCGTTGCATGAGCATCGCTCAGGAATTATTAAATGACGTCAACGGCGATCCAGATTTGCTCCAAAGGATCATAACTGGTGACGAATCATGGGTATACAATGCATTTCTTTAATGTCACCCCGCTTTCATTTTTTGAACAGGCCAACTCAAGAAAATTGAAATTTGAGATAATGAAATTAATTTATGAATACTTTATTTTGAAGTGAAATTGACAGATGAAAGTTTCAAGATGGCGACTGGGGGCAAACTGGGNTAAATTATTCATGCATTAATTTCATTATCACAAATTTCAATTTTTTGAGTTGACCCGTTCAAAAAATGAAAGGGGAGGGGGACTTTAAAGAAAAGCACTATTTGGTTATGACTTCGAACCAAAGTCCAATCATCACAATGGAACAGCCCAGAAGAGCCAATCCCGAAAAAGCACGCCAAGTTCGATCAAATGTCAAGGTTTTGCTCACCGTTTTCTTGGATTACCGTGGTGTAGTGCATGAGGAGTTCTTGCCACATGGTCGTTCGTTCAATAAGGAGTATTATCTTGAAGTAATGCGCCGCTTGCGAGAAGCAATACGAGGAAAACGTCCGGTATTGTTGAAAAACAATTAATGGCTTTTGCATGATGATGATGCACCTGCCCCCTTGTCACTGCTTGTTCATAATTTTTTGGGCAAAACCACACCGTAATCATGCCTCAGCCACCGTTTTCATGAGATTTGGCCCCCTGCGACTTTTTTCTGTTCTCAAGATTGAAAAGACCCATGAAAGGATTGAGTTTTGCAACGATTGAGGAGATGACAACCGAAAGAATAGTTCAGAACTGCTTTGAGGATTGGGGAAAACACTGGCACAAGTGTATTTCATCTGAGGGGGGCTACTTCGGGAGGGACGAAATGAAAACTGATGAATGAATGAATATAACTTGAGAGAAATGAAAATTCACCATTATTTTTTAACAGACCTCGTTGGAATACACATACGCTGATTCTTATGGTCAATACAAAATATGATTTCCTTCACAAAAATGACTATTGTTTGGGACATATGTCTCCTTCAAATAGATCTGATCTAGATTTCAATCGCATATCGAAATCTGTGAATGTTATTTCATTTATATTTTCACATATATTTATGTACCTACTGCAACCAACTTTATCAATACTAATTTGATTCTGTTGGTTACATCGACAATTTCTCTTCACACTGCTCGAAGTTTCTATAAGAAAGGTCCAAAAGGTTTCAAGATGGATAACCAGTTATATTTCAAAGTTAACGCAAACTATATTTTTTCAGTTCCTTCGCCGTTTCCACACAAGACAGTTCAATTGTCAGGTATCACTCTTACAGGAGTAGATGTTACACTTAAAAAAGATCAATTCAATAACAGTAACGGAGATATAAAATACATTTCACTAATTTTGAGTGAAGTTTCTAACAATGGGGCCGGTACATTCGGTTCCTGGGATGGAGTAAAGTGGCCAGAGGTTTTCAGTGAAACAGAATATCAGCTGACAGAAGACTTTTGGAACCCTTTCAGAGGTAAGCTACATAAGTTGCAATCGAAAGAACTTCACACTACACTCGTCATTGATACGTCTCTAAGCAATAAAACTCATAACAGCGACAGTACAACACGTTGAGCTCCTTTGTTCGAATTGAAAAGTGAATATTTTTTGAAGAAATTAGTTTTCGGATAAATTTTTGTTTCCATTTCTTTTCTATCATTGAACAAAAAAGTGAACAACTTTCATCAAGGAGAGAAAGAAATAGCTACAACGAAAATTATTCACAATGAAATGTTAATCTGTTTAAAATCTGTTTTTCCGTTAATCAGCTACCGCCCCCATACGAACGACAACTCTCAGAAGTTAAGAAACATGTGCGAGCTAAGGACTAACGAGGTCTTACCTTTTAACGTGTGATTCCTAACATTGTGCCCATGAATATAAACTGAAAAAAAAACCCTTTCGAAACAACTTCTTTCACATGCACATTGAATACATGAAAGGAAAAAGTCCTTTTAAACAACTACTTTCACATGATCATTGAATAACAAGAAAAGTCACTTTGTCCCTTTGTCCCATTCAGTTTGTACTCCAAATATTCGTTATGGAACTGGAACATATAATTCATAGGAACCATACACAACATAATAGGTATACTGAAAATATTGATATAAAATTACACTCACATGGTGTACTTAGAAGTTTCGATTATATTTCAAAATGGGATTATATTTCTTTGTTTGAAGGTGATTGACAATGTTTCATGGTGAATTTCACTAGTTCGGACTTCCATTGTCTAATATATAAAATGATTTGAAATCCCTGAAATAACTAAAAAAGAAGAATTAAAAATGAAAAGCTGAAAATTACAATTATATTAAGCAAAAAATCCTGAAATGAAATAATAGTGAAATACAATTCAAGTAAAAATAAAACAATTGAACAAAAAATTAAAATAAAGAAATAAAACTGAAAATGAAAATAAAAAGTTGAGAGATTCCAAGCCAAGTTAGTTCACGACTTTTCGATTGTAGATACTACTTGGAAGTACACCATAGAAGACAATAATGTTCTATATAAGTGACTTTTTATATCAATACTCTTTTATATATTGCGTCGTGTAGCGTTCCTATAAATTATATCTGTTTCAGTCCCATAATGTGAAAGAAATGTATATTCATGATGTTCAAACCTATATTTAAAAAAGAGTTTGACTATTTCTGGAAAGTTCACACTTTTTTTTAATATGTGCTAACTGGTATCATTTCGCAGGCAACTTCAATGCGAGCGGTTGTCACTATAAAAAGTATTGGTTTTATGTATTCAGTATAGAAGTATGGATTTTAAGTATTTATGCCAAAGAGTTGTTAAAGTAATTTTGGGTGGTTAGCTCCACTCACTAAATCGACCACTGCGTGAACCGGTGGTTCGACCAGAGGGCTGGTTCGTTCAACCCATGTTAGAAATTACACGTTGAAAGGTAAGACCTCGTTAGTTCTTAGCTCGCACAAATTTCGTCTTTTGAGAGTTGTCGTTCGTAGGGGGGCCGGTTAACGAAAAACCAGATTCAACAGAATTTAATGAAGACAAGAACAAAGGTGGATTTTTGGAGTAGTTACTTCATATTCACTGGCGAGTATGTGAAACTATTGATGAGCGTGGACCGGAGTTAAAAAATTAGCAAATTAGGCTTCATCTGAAGTTCTTAGGTTTACCGTAAGCAACCAAATTTGGAAAAAATCCAAACAATACGTTTCAGACAGCATTCTTCTTGAAGTAAAAACGACAAGAAATAGCGCTGTGCTACCTGTTAAAACATAATGGTTTCCCTTATATACATGGATGAAACCTAGTTATTTTCAAAAAGCAGACTAAAAACATAAAATCGATCTGAAATAATGAGAAGGTAGGTGTATATGGTAATTTAGCTCTGGTTATTACCAAAAAGCCATAGGTACGTTCATACGACATAAAAGACGATATTACCTGAAAATTCAAAATTTTTATGTTTGCACATCGATGGACATTAATTTGTCGTAAATTCAAAATCTGAGATAGATAATATCAGCAGTCATCGGAATTTCTCATGAATTGAAATATTTCTTATCGTTGAAATATTTTAAAATAATTTCTGTTCTATTAATTTAAACCTCCAATATTTAAATTATGTTCCACACTTCCACGAAATCAACTTTGAAACTTCATAATGTATAATAGTCTGCCGAATAGGTACATAAAAAGGACATTAATTCTGCGACTAGAAAAAGAACTGTTTCAAAGTATTTCAGGCTATTGTAGAAAATGATTAATTCAATGAACATGTATTTCCTCTAAAAACATATATGTTTCTCGAAATTATTAAGGTATGAATATATGAATAAATATAAATAATATTCCTTGTAGTGCAAATAAACCGTTTCATTGAAATAAAATAACTGTTATAATAGTCCGTAAAGTTTGCATAATATATACAATAGTAGGTACCTACGTTAAATATCCAATAATGAATTGCGATCACTTTTATCGAAACACACGAGAGTCTAAGAACATACGTTTTACTTTACTATCCTTCATTTAGAGATTAGAGACAAGAAAGGAAAGTATGTATTGCTGCTGCGAGTCTAGGCTTTGCCATTTTATAGTTTAGAGACGAATAAACTGTACTCTTAGGCTTTAAATTTACTCAATTTTTCAGCTTCAAAAGCCAGGTCTGTGTTTTCAAAGCCTTTCACTTCATTAATATTATTGTTTCAGACGCTGATGAAGTAACCTTTAGTATCGGAAACGCTGCCCCAGGGTGTTCCAAGTCACTAAAATATTGCAATGAACCTCTGAAAGAGGACAAAGAATATTTCTTGATCATCCGAATGTTTACCAGAAACTTCTACAAAAATAGCCATGCAATTTTTTTCAGAACGGGTAAATAAAACCCCATATAAATATAAAATGCTCATTATATGGTAACGCAGTTTTTACTTTTTGGAAAAACCTGTATGTAGAGTTGTTCTGGTGGGAAGTGACATTGCAGTTATAAAATCATACGATTTATTTTGTCAAGTGAAAATAAAGAAATTGGGAGAGGTAAATAAAAAATAAACTTCAACTTTATTATTCGAATCAATATGTTGTAGCTATTGAATTGATCAACACTTTCCGAATTTCGTTATGGTCCCGCCCACTAGAGAGAGAGAGAATTCTCAAGTCTCTTCCTAGATTTGACAAGATGTTTATTTTTTTATCTTGTATTTTAATTTTTTTTTCTGTTATATTTCTTCCAAGTTCAAAAGCACCATCATTACATTTTCATCATCTTAGTGTTTGTTGTTCCTATTATTTTTTCGTTAAAACACACTGTTTTGATTCACAGCACTCGTGACTTATTTATTCTTTTTAAGATAGAAAACTTTCTCGGCCGGAGATAACTGGTCTGCAGGTTTTAATGTCTTACGTTCTTTTACGACTACGGTATACAGAAAGCTCTGGTTGTCCTTACAGCAGATGCTTCATCTTTCAAGGTTTTGATCTCTGGTTAAATTTCATTGTTGGTGGGCGTGACTCCCTTTCTATTGGTTCAATTAAACGGTTCAATACGCGTGTAATTTAGTACAAGTAGCCAGATTAATACCTACTACATTCCTATATAGTCTTGGATAATAACTCAGTTCTGCCAAACACATGGGTCTCTTCAAACGCAATAACGTGGGTACCTTCGATGAGTACATGTTCCTCTACTGCTGATTTGTAAATGTCCCAGGTGACAATTTGACTCGTGTTTGGAGAGATGAAAACTTGCGTTTCTTTTCGTGGTTCCAATGTAGATCGGTCCAAAGCTTCAAGGAATGCGGTATACTCCCGGTATTCCTGAAGACTTCTGGGGCCCTTAACTAACCTTAGATTCTATCTGGCCTGAATATTGAACGAAACATCTTTTCCATTAACAGACCTATCTGGTACTCTGGCATTGTCCTTTCTGGGTCATATTTCCGATTCATTGTTAATTTTTCAATAAATGATGTGTGCTTTTTATTAATTGAATACTATTTTTCATTCAGAAAAATATTACAAACAGGACTTTTTCCTAGAAATAAAAAACATTTCATTGAAAAATGCGTTACTCATTTCTTTTATGTATCTTATATTGTAATTATCGTAAATTCAATAACACCAACGTTACCATTGGTGCGCAATTAATTTCGATCAGCCTGTATAGTGTGAGTTGTATAATGAAATTTTAGGTAAAAGCTGGACAAGTTTCATTCTGGGAATGATATTTGGGATCCTTATAGCCGGTATTTTGGCGATAACCGCATTCTTTCTGTGGAGAAGAGGCGTTTTCAAGTTGAGTGCAGAAAAATATACACTTTAAAACAGCAGAACAACTTTTTTTTTTTATTTCAGGACCATCATGCAAAGTTTTCCAAGGCTCAAAAAGGTTAAACCGAAGGTTAATTCAGGAATTCCTTGCGGCAAATTCTTGCAGTATTGCAGAAATATGGAGTGCAATCCACAAAAATATCATGAAGAGTATTTGCTGCTCACGGAAAAATCAAAGGAAATCACAGCCGAAAAAACAATTTCCATTGCAACTCTGTTGGAAAACAAAAGAAAGAATCGATACACAAATATAGCTCCATGTAAGTTGTGATTGAATCAATCAATTTGTTATGTATGTTTGAAGGTTTTCTTGAAAATTAGCTGTTCGAATATTCTTTACCTATCTGAATTAGTATTACTAAGTTTTCAGTTTTTTACACTGTCCGAAACAAGGCAACAAATTAAACCTAAGCACGATATTCGGTGTTGATTATAGCAGTTGCAGTGACTTTGGTAACAAACTATTCAACAAACTACCAGCATATATTAAACAAACTGGCTTTTGCCATGTATTTAAAAATAAATTAGAACAATGGATTTCAGGAAATGAACTAGAGTATTTTCATAGAATTTCAAATACAATAGTTTCTAAATTTCCTACATATTCCTAGGTTGAGTGGAAGAACAGATTTTTTAGAGACNAGTGCCTCACCAATAATTTGCAAATTAAATAAATCACAAATTTATATTATTTTACTATTTGCATTCATTATTATATCAATTAGAATTATTATTAAATTAGTAAAATACGGTCCTGCCGCCGTCCGCCGTCAATTACCGCGTTTCACTATAAATATCATCCATCTCATTTCTGCTTTAGGTGGTATATGGATAGAGGCTTGCCTCTGCGTTTCTTTGTCTAGCGTATTACAATTGTTCTGTATGACACAGCCGAATCTATAAATAGCTTTAAAATGTGCGTAAAAACTTCGTTTTCAGAGGCAAGCCTCGTAAGCGACACGAAAATTAACGAAAACTGACCGATTGTCTTTCGGGGAGGGGGCGTCTAATGCTAGTAATGCTATTTTTAGATTAACAGGTTGAGTTTGAGTTGAGGGTTAAAAGTGCACAGTGACAGTGCACACTTTTTTATTATAATAGATAGTTTTCGGTTCGGTGAGCAGTGAATCTCGGTGGTTTTTCTAAAATATTACATTACAACATTACTTATTACCGAAAAATGGATTTAGCGGGACCTAGCACAGCGTCACAACTTCCCCAGGTAAATGTAAACATTCGTAATACTTGTGATCTTGTTAATATTTTAGTAAATGAGCAGAATTTTTCAAGTCATTCCTATGACGATAAATTATACATAGTTAAAGAAGTGAAGCGACCTTGTCCAGATTTAAGTAAACGTCTTATTACTATCGGTGGGTTGGGGAAATCAACAAATCGTTGGTTCTTGCTGGACAGTTGCGTAACAAATTGCTCGATAACATAGCCCTAGCTTTATAAACAATTTTAATTTTTTTAAATTTAATGTTATATTTTTTTTACAAATGGTATTACACAACTGACGAAGTAGAGTGACCACTAGACTAACTTTAAATTCTAACTTTGCTAAAAAAAAATGAACTGTGCCTCACCATTTTCAAATACCACGAGCCGCCACTGGTCCAGCCGTTTCCTTGCCTAAAGAGTCGGCAATGCAATTACCTTTACTTCTGTCGTGCCCTTCAACCCACTTCAGGATAATGTTATTATCTACCGAGGCTTTGGCTAAATCTTGGTGGCACTCTAGTACTATTTTACAAATTTGCCGGTCTGCAAGATAACTATGTCATCTGCGTATGCAATTGTGTAGAATCCATTTTTGTTAAGGTGATTAATTAGGGTATCCTAATTGCATCCTATACTGTTTATTGGGTTTATAACTTTCCACAATCTGAAAAAATAGATAAATCAATAGAGAATCTGCTGAAGTATAATAAAAGGTCAAATTGAAAAGTTGTGGAAGGTTATAAACCCAAAAAACAGTATGAAATGATAACGACAAATAAATAACTGCATTCAACTACCACCATTCAACTAAACACAATCGCATTCTAGTTTCTCATTTTTTATCACAACTATTTTATTTCTTTCTAAAAGGGTTCTTGGTCAATGTCTGATGAAGAAATGGAACATAATTATTATTCACCGGATATTTTTCACCTTTTCATGAGCCGCCGTTTTCGTAGTTTATTCGTTTGCTTATTTGTATAGGTAAATGTGCATTTTTTCAGATAAATGTATGGGGTTGAAGATTCTCTCCCATAAAATTAAATCATCAGTGTAACTCCTCAACATTTCAGCTGTGAATAAGAATTCGAAACATTCAAATGTTGCGTTTAACGAGATTCTGATAACACACATCAAATTGTGATTATTCCACACGTACATACTGTTACGTTTTCCCCGTGGGTTGATCAATAATTGATTACACTGAATAATCAAACCTAACTTTATTTCTCTTCGCCTTACTAGATCGCTCCGCGTATAGCACTGTAACTTCCACTTGACTGTGTCGTTATGCTCGTGCCTAGCGTTTATATTTCATAATCGAATGCGCTAGAAAATTTCGCCGAAATTCCATCCAAATCGGTAGCATTATTCTCGCTACTTCTAGAGCGGCAGCGAACATCGTACATTCGCGCGCTCTTAGCTACGTCACGATTGGTTTATGGCTACCAGTGGCGGCCGGCGTTATTTTCTTTAGGGCATGATTTAAAACAATACAGAATGTGCCCTGAATTCGATTCGCGTAGCTTGTTAGTTCCAAAACATCACGAATCTACAGAACTTGATATTTAATTTGTATTATCCCTGTTATGTTGTAACAATAACGTCATCATAATCATTTCTGCTCTCAAAATTTTTCATTTCAAATAATGGTAGACATGTTGTCGAACAAAAGTGCATTTTTATTAAAAATCGTTGCTCCGATTGATTTTCCACACGAGTACTTTAATTCAGAAAATTGTCTAATCATCCTGATTTTGTTGAAAAATATCTGTCATTTCAAAGTTTTAGGGTGTGGGCCATCGGGGGTAATCCCTTCCTGATTTTGTAGCAAAACAACGCACTACTGCATGAAAGCTCATCAAAGCAATTAATTTTTTTTAGTCAATCACCAAAATTTGATTGATTTTGAATATTCACTCGAAAAGTTATCAAAGAAAAAACATTTTTCATTTTGTAACTTTGAGGCCCCGTAACAAAAGTTATATGAAGTAGTGGTGATATTTTGACCCCATCTATACATTCCCGAGAGAAAAAGACGAAGATCACGGACACCCTGTATATTTTTGTTGATATTGAAAAATAGAAGATTCTGATGTTGCTTCGAATGACATTCAATATATTTCAGATGATGAAACCAGAGTACTCCTTAGGATAGACGAAGACGATGAAATAGGATCTGATTATATTAATGCGTCTTTTATCAAGGTAATCGACTGTTCGTTGATTCAAGTCGAAAAATAGACAGCCTACACAACATCTTTTTCACAAATTTTCAGGGTTATTCCGGTAATATAGAATACATAGCAACGCAAGGACCAATGGCTACAACTACAAGGGACTTCTGGAAAATGGTTTTGCAAGAAAATGTTACTTTAATAGTTATGGTGTCCCAATTTGTTGAAAATGGAAAAGTGAGAATTCCATGTTTGAGTCCATGCCAGATCATTACTGTTCTTCTTTTAGGATAAATGCCATCGATATTTTCCGAAAAATCACGAAATCATGAGCATATCCGAGGATATGGAAGTTAAGTGTTCTACAGAGCTACATTTTGGTACATACTGTGTGAGAAATCTTCAAATCAGAAAGGCGAGTATCGTTCCACTAACGTCAGCTTAAACTATACAAGATGTCCCACCAGTGCATATTATATCAGTAATGCTGATACCTATATATGAAAAGTATTTACGCATAAAAGTTAAAGGCATTTGAACGAAGACAAATATAATGGTCATTCCATTCAAGAGATATTTTTTTTTAATGTGACCCTTCTCGTGGCTTACAAATTTTATAAAACACTTTTTTTCATATATTTCAGCTTCATTGATGGTGTTCAAGATATTTGACCGTTCACTCTACCTCTTCTCAATATGTATATTAATGTATTTATTTACTATTATCGACTAAGCATTTGTTTGTTGTGAAATGTTTCTGTTTTGTATTCTGACTTGTCGAACTTTGTGTTCCTAAAGATTATTAAATATCATTATCATTATCGAGCAAATAGGCACTGTTGGGACTCCCGATATCGTGTTATGCAACGGGGATAGGAGTTGGTGGCAATTTTTCTTCAAGGATGAATTTGAATAATTCAGCATCAGTCCGCATTAAGAACAACTCAACAATGTTCGACTATAACACAACTTTGCTATGATGTCGAGTAGACCAAGTTAAACTTATTAGGATTCTAAGCTGCTCTGTCCTAATTGAAAAAAAAAACTTATGGTCTTGATCCCGAAATTCGTGATAAGTAATTTAGAACTATGTTCAGGCATTTGATATTATTGACTACAAACTCTTGGCCCCAACACAAACCGTTTCGTTAACTTGTTCAAATCAACAGAGAAACTGGATGTAACTGGTAGTCAACAGTGGTATACTGCAGGGAATTATCCTTGGACTAATATTGGACTAACGAGGTCTTACCCTTTAACGTGTGATTCCTAACACGGGTTGGACGATAGCATGTGAAAATCGATCATTCAGCCTGAGGCTTGAACCACCGACCAACACGGCGGTCGATTTGAGGGAGTGAACAAAGCACCCACGTCGAACCGATCGGCTACCGACCGATATATCTGACTGTATCCGTGAATATGTAATGTCTCTGACAAAACTTGAAATGAACTCAGACTCCTAGGGAAAGCAACATACTACAGTTTATTGCTGAAAACCAACATATTACAATTATACATAAAAAAATTTTTGCAAGTAAAAATTATACAAAATTACAACCTGATTATTTATGTTTCGCTTTCCTATAATGCAAAATCTAAACTGGAACATTGTTTGTCCGGGCTAGGAAGCCGCAGTCTGATGGATATATTGGCTCTGAAATTTTCGCTTCTTCAAAGATATTTTGGGAAAAAACGTCTGAGCTCCTTACTTCGATCATTGAACAAAAAAAGAAGGGAAACTAATCTGTCCTAAAAAAATTCCCCTTTCTAATTAGAATGAAAACTTCAGTGGTGGTTGGTGGCAATCTTTTCAGACTTCCTAATTGGCAGACCTGTTAATTGTCGCAACGCAACTACAGCAATAGCCAAACGTGATGGCGAGCCCGCCCACATGCGCACAAAATCATTTTCAATATAACCCCCTCTACAGCAAGACATACAAATGCTCTGTAGAGAAGCGTATTATTACTTGACCTCCAATGCCGTTGGCGTTTAGCATTGTCTGAATAATTTGTCTTCTTTCTGAAAAAATGTCATGGCCTAACAGAAGTTTATTTTTGGATAAGTGTATTATTATAATGATATATTTTAATGAACTGTACTACTACCTATAATACTGAATAAAATATGAAAAGAAATTGCAAAGAAGTCATGTTCCTTTTGCTACCCAAATTAAAATAATTATGGGTACGACACTTGCCGGCAAGGGGCCGACCATAATCCAGTAGTAATTTAGTTGGGAGAGTCTATACCTGCGCGATCGCTCGCCATCACGTTTGGTGCTTGGTGTATATAGACGGTCGCAACGCATTGCTGCCAATCTCAGCTGAAGATGCATATTGCAGTTATTGGTGAAACTTTTGGAACAAATGTTTCCACTGGACCACGGCTACCTAGCCCAAATAACCACAATTCCCATTTGAGTTCCGGTCGTGAAAGTATAATACTTCAATCACAGATTTCTTCATGTTATCTCTCTTGTATCTTTCCTATCGTTGAAGATAATAATTTTTTTATAAGAAAATAGGCTATTCTGTAAAATTTAAAGTCTTTGAATGCTTTCATCTTCTTTCAGGACAACTTTCAGACGATGGTAACTCACATGCAGTTTTTGGATTGGCCTGATTTTGGAGTTCCAGTTGGTACGGAAAATGTTTTGCAATTCTGTTATCAGCTGCGAGAGAGAACATCTATTGAAGGAGGGTTAATAATAGTTCATTGCAGGTAGTGTTCTGTTTATTAAAAAAGCTGTATAAAAATATCTAAAATATTTAGGCTTCCACTTGTACATATATCTATTCGATTTAATACTGAAAGAGTAGTATGGCAGTCTTTCTTTGAAATACTAAATTAAACAAAATAATCAAAGAAAATATCTTTTCCGGGCACCAGAGCAGAAACATCAAAATATATTATTGAAAGATATTTTTGACAGAATATTTTTTCAAAAGTTTCTCTGGAGAACTTCCAGGTTTCTTATGTAGTCTAATAGCTTCTAATTTATTACAATATTGTACTATAAGAAGGCAATATTTGAAGAATTTTCATAAGCTCTTGAAAAAGAACATTTCAGACATCTAAGATATAAATACATAAATGCAAATTTCGTACAATAAGAACAAATTTAGATTATTTTCAGTTCTGAAGTTCGGGAAAAGAATTTTATCTAATTCAAACACACATTATGAAAAAATAATTTGGTTATAAGGTGTGTCAAAGCTATGTTCCGGGTTTTTGGCAGTGTTCTGTAGGTTTTAATGCCTGATGCTTCGTCTACTACAATGGTAGACATAATCAAAGACGATGAGGTAAAGATCGAAGTGCTCGAGTTGTTCTCAATGGAGGAAACTACAACGTTGGAATTTGTCTTCTGTTTTATTTCATCAATGGTGGGCGTGGCTTCGTTTCTCCCAATTGGATTAAATGACTTTGTTTGTGTACAATTGAAGACGGGTAGCCAAATTTGACTAATGTGCATTGCCCCTATCTTTCTATTAAAATTATTCCTATGTTTCTGAATTTCTACAGCCTCTTTATATATTCTTTGATGGTGATTTTGGACCACTCTATGACCCAATGTCCCATCTTGACGTCTGTTCACAAGAAGATCCAAGAAGGTTATTGTTGTTGGGTTTCTCGTTCTATTGTGAATTGTATTTTGGGGTTGGGAGATTTTAGATATAATCGAAAATTGTTTGGTGTCTCTCATCTCTCAACCAACGTATCATCAACATAACACAGTCAACAATATGGTTTCATGACCGCTTGCTTAAAAGCCCATCGTTCGAAATTAAAAAAAAAAAAGTTCGCCACCATCAGACATAATGGACTGCCCATTGCACCATCCGTTTGTTTGTGAAAAACATCACCCACTGGAAATAAGTTGATGGTTAACAGTGAGCGAAAAGGGCGATTATATCTGCTAGGAATACTTCGCCAATTAGCCGTATCGTGTCCTTGACAAGGTTGTCAAGTATTTGGCCATTTCATAAGTTGGTGAACCTATCTGCTATTAAGTGGCAAATATATTCGCCCTTCTCGCTCATTGTTCATCATGAACTCGTTTCCAGTGGGATTGTATTTTCACGAACAAACAGATGGGACCGTTATGAGCAGTTAATCATGTCCGGTGGTGGCGAACTTTTTCATGAAAAATTTGGAACAACTGGCCTTTGAGAAAGCGTCCGTGAAACCATATTGTTGACCGCATTACGTTGATGACACGTTCGTGGTATGGCAAGATAGAGCAGAGACACTAAACGAGTTTCTATTATATCTAAATTCTCTTGATCCATAAATCTAGGCAATAGAAATTCCGATACACAAACAAGGTCATTTAATTCAATTGAGAGAAACAAAGCCACGCTCACCAATGATGATATAAAACCGGAGACAAGTTCCTACATTGTAGTTTCTGCGTTGGGAACAACTCGAGCACTTCGATCGTTACCTCATCGCCTTTGATAATGTCTACCGCAGTAGCAGGTGAAACGTCAGGCGTAAAAATCTGCTGNTACATGTACGAACTTTTAAAAAATATGTATTGTATTATTGTATTGTTAGTATTTTTAGGTGTATTTTTCGTTTTTTATTAAGATGTATTGTAATTTTATCCTGATTCGCAACCGAACACGGTTATTAGACTTATCTCATGTCATGTAAATGATTCGAAGAGATCAATAAATCTATCTATCTATCTATCTATCTATCTATAAATAGTCATCCCTCAGAGGAATAAGTCCAGTCATACTAACAATCGCAATACTATCGGATACGAACAATGGAAACGTCGTGAAGTAACTTGGCTTGAAATCTTTAAGTTTTAATTTCTTTTTGATTGTTCAATTTTCAATTGTTGTTTCAGGGTTTTTGCTTAATATAATTTTTATTTTTCAGCTATTCACTTTAATTTTATTCATTCTTTCAGGGATTTTAAATAATTTTTATATCATATTAGATAATGGAAGTCCGAAATAATGAAATACAGAACATTCTAGATTATACTCTATATTACATGAGCTCTCTCACTTAATTTTTCTCCTGAACGAGAATCGAAATGTATAGATCTATTCTACATAATGAACATTGTGCTCAGTTTCAGGGTCAATAAATAAAATACTGATAAGACACTAAGGCACTTAACATACCTAACTAATGAAAAGAGAAACGGAAATTTCTATGTTTTTACCACTTTTATTTGTAACTAACGTTACTGCAGTTTCGTGCTATATGGACATTCACAAACTTGAACAATGAACTTAATTGTTTATTATAAACAAACGAAACTGCAGTAACGTTAGTTACAAATAAAAGCGGTAAAAAACATAGAAATTTCCATTTCTCTTTTTATCATGATCTCCTACCACGTAGTAACGGCTACATCCATCAATTTATACCTAACTGACTTAAAATTACGAATTCACAGCGCAGGAGTTGGTAGGACTGGCACACTGATAGCCACAGACATTCTTCTTCAGACAGCCAATGCTGGAAAAAACATTGATATATTCAATACGGTGCTGGAACTTCGAAAACAAAGAGTTCTGATGGTTCAAACAGATGTGAGTTTCAATTTTTTCTATCTTGCAAAAATCCAAATATTCGAATGTATGATTTTCCGCTTCAATATCAAGTTATTATTTTGTTCCTTCATATTACTAGAAGCAACTTTCGATCTGAACACTAATAAACTGAAACTGAATGTTGACAATAATTAAGCAATGATGGAATCCAAAATGTATAAGGTGCAAATTATAAATAATCCAAATTACCAAATATTTCAAATCAGTAAGTTGTTCTTTGTGTTTGCATTTGAATTTAAACTTGAACATACTATGTTTATAATTATACAGTTCATTGGTCGGAAATACATCTCTAAGCCATAAAATAGTCAAAAATTCAGTCGAGAATATTTAAAATAATTTCAATACTTGAAAGACACTTTGGGGTTTTGAACAAATACACATAATTCACACTTTTACACTAAACACATAAAACCTATACTTTCAATATTGACACTTGCTCTCATTGAAATCTGCAAGATGATATCGGTTAAGCAATTGTGATTGGTATCTAGTAAGACAAAGCTCATCATGTCGTGGGTAAACTTGGAGTTTTATGGCGTGGAGATAAATCCTTGATTAATGTACTGTACTAGTATTATTCCTAATAATGGTAGGATAAGTTTATTCAGAAATTACTAACTGATAATTATAGAATAAAATAATATCTTGCCCAAAAAGGTTTCAGATGTTTCTTAGTGTATTAAGTAATTTGATGCGCTGAATAAAGAAAATATTTGGGTATATAAATCAATAGAAATGTATAGCAAATTCTGAAAGTTATTTTTTCTTCACAGAAACAATATATTTTTATTCATAACTTGCTGAAGGAGCACTTAGATCGACCACAAACACCTGGTAAGTCTGAACAATATATTGACAAAGGAATTCTTTTGGAAACTTATTTGATAATAAATGTATTCCTCAAACAAAAAATCCATAGTTTAAAAAAAGTGTGATGACAAATAAATAGTTTATAATTTAATGTTCATCAGCTGTATCCTTGAATATTGAAAAAAAATGTTTTTGTTACTTCTTCCCTACAATTCTCCTTTTTTTTTAGATCTTATAGAAAATTCTGAACCGATGTATGAAAACATGGAAATTATAAGGAATTCGAGGGACAGTGAAAATTTTGTAAATAAAAAAGAAGATGAGAGCGAATTCTAGTAAAATGGCTTTAATTGTGATCGTGCCAAATTGTTGCTTCAAATCATTCCTTGTAATAGGGACCAAATATTTTTATAATTCAGAAGTGATTAAAAGAAACGTTCTGTTTATTCCATTAACAAAAATGGAGAAAATCCAGAATATTCCAAAGTGTGTTCTTGCCTACATGAACTAAATTATTGTGATAAAATTTTTGAAAAATATCCCATTTGTACTTAAATTATTGTTATATAAGTTAGTGTAGAATGGTGCAATTCTCAGATTGAACAAATAAGAATTTCATTAGAGACACAAAAAACTGATATATCTATCAGAATGATTTCTTACCAACTAGACTTCACCCAAGTACTTATTTACATACATTTTTTTTCATAAGTTACTGCTCAAAATGTTCATATAATAATTAGGTTATATTAATAAATATATTTGATAAATATTTGAATGTTACCATATAACAGAATATGTTTGCAGAAACCAAAGAATTAGTTTTTTACTTCCAATTGGAACAAATATAATATATTTCATGAAAAACTGTTTTATTTCATGCAAGAAACAGAGATTATTAAACTGGAATTCAATAAAATAATAGGGAAAACTGGGGATATTTGATCCAGAAGGATACTTGACCTGAGACACATTCCTCAATTCAGGTGAAGTTTGAAATAGTAAATTATAAGATATCAATTTTTTCACATCAATTACCAAATAATTACTTTGTCAACCTAAAACTATGACAAACAACCTCTAGACCAAAAGAAAATCAAACAAATGCAAACTTCAATGTATCATGGGAAAACAAAACACTGTAAATTGGATTTACATATACCACCAGAACAAGTAAGACTATTTGCAGACTAACTTTCCTATTTTGAAATTGGCAATATTGAATTAGATATCTTTCAGATATCCATGGCATGCCTCTGTTGTTTGATGTATCCTGATTTTCAAAGATTAGTGTACATAAATTTTTTATCGTCAAACCATGCTTTTGCTGTTGTTCCAATTTTTAGGTTCATCTTCATTTGCTGTTATTTGATTTTGATTCTAACAGTTCCTGTATAAGGTAACAAAGCCACGAAAATAATAAAAAGTGGTCTTTGTTATTTCATACTATACAGGGTATAGAGCGATGACCGGTTAGCTGTATTTTGGAAAATAATAGGATTCATATCCTGAAAATTGGCAAACATTGGTTTATGCTTTAAGTATAGATATGCTTTACAGAATGTTATAGAAGTTAGTACCAACCGGAAGTTGGTACTAACTTCTTCAATTCAAATGTAACAACACCCACCATTTTTGAATACTTGGCATAATTCCTATGTGAGTTTATGTAATTCACCCTATGGCAAAAATAAACCGTTCTCCAGATACTCATTTGTTTACTCAAAAAAAACTAGGTATTTGGCTCTTGAATGATTCTCCAATAAAATTCAAAAGTTTGATAAAAGACATAATTAAGCTATTATTGATTCATCAAAATACTTCATTTCATCGTTTTGTAAGTGTTCGGAATCAATGACTACTTTTGAAGTTATAAAAATGAGCCAATACTCAGTTAATGTTTATTCTGAATGTTTCATGAAAGAGTGAAAATTCAAAAATATTGCATTATATTTTCATACAAAATATAAAAACTACTTCAATATATGTTCGAAGAAATTTCTGTATAATTTGAAAGTCACTTCTTTGCATGATCTACACATCTATGTATAGTTACTTCTTTTAAAATTGATTACATTCTTCCGTTTTTTTTTCTATATCAAGATGGAGTAGTAAAAAGCCAAAAACTTTCTTTTCCAAAAATTTCCTTAGTTGTTGATTTATTGATGTCATTCGTATATCTTCAATGAAAACACTAGAAAAGTTGTGATGAAAACAGTTTTAAGCTACTGTACTAAATAATAATATTTATTACACTCATTAAGAAAGTAAGTATACAATTTCTTTTGTAAAAATTTTATATGGTACCAACAAAAATGTCACATACTTAGCACTGAAAGTTGAAGGTGAGTGATACAAATGTGTTTTCACTTGTAGATAATATGATAAAAGTAAATATTTCAGGCATTCCAAAACAAAAACTATTTTTCATCTCCTGAAGATGCCAACTTGGTTGGTAGAACACGCTTCGTGAAAAGTATTGCATTTCTGATAATTGAGAAAAGTACTTGTTTTGGATTTGTTCTACGCTAGAGTTTCCAGTTTTAGGTTTTACTTCAGACATCACCACAACTTGCCAACTAACAAATTTTATCTTGAAAATTCAAAAATCTTTCTCGAAATGCAACAAATTTAATTTTTCATAATTGTGAAACATCATAATTTTTCCACGTGTGTTTGTTGTTACCCCAAGATTTCCTAACTTAGGCCAAATTTTGATTCATATCTGGTTTTAGTCACCTCTCATCAAAGGGAACCTTGAGCAACTTTTTTTTTCAATTGCATAATATATGTCAACAAACAGAGTAACTAGAAACCCTAGTTTTACACATTTCAACTAAGTTTGCCCATTAGTGGATTGTGAATAACAGAAGTCTATAAATTCCCCGTGCTGTTAAAAACTGTACTTACTGAACTCATTGATGAGTCACCATCCCATGTGGGTGTGCAGTGTGGTGCATGAAACCAACGTTATGAGGCACAGGATGGACCTGATGTGGCATTCTATGATTCCACATCATACTATGTTGGAGATGAATGGGTTCCACCATATGGTTTTCATGGTGACCCAGTGGCACTCCTAAACCTCTGTGAGCTTGGTTAGGCACAAACATTTGATTTTGTTGCAAATTCACATTATGTGGCTGAGCAGGTTGTTGAGGTAGTGGAGGGATCTGATGTAAAGGGGCCTGGGGCACAGGAAGAGTTTTTGGTATACTTTGAGGAATATTGGGTTTGGTAGAAATAGAAGCTTTCACTTCATTTCGGTTCTTCACAGGTAAGTTTTCCTTCTTGATAGAAGTTTTCTCTACAAGAATAGACTTGTTGCCATTTTTTTCTTTCTCATAACAAAACCCCATGTCAAACAATAACCTCCTCAGGGTCATCAGAGAGAAGTTTGGCAACTTCTCATTCCCATTAACGTTTTTCAATATCAAACTTAAGCTAGGTATGATATTTCTGTACTTTAAATCATAAATTATATTTCTTATTTCTTGTCTTACGTTATCGTCATACTTAATAAACCTGCTATTTATATTAATGTTTTTACGTATTTTCGTTTTCGAAGGTTCTTTGAAACCCTCTACGCTTGCTTCTTCTTTGCGAAATTGAAATACACTCTTTTCACTGCACCCAGTCGCTTTTGCAGTGCGCCTAACTATTTCAGTAACACATTTTTCCGGGTACGTGCTTTTGAAATATTTAAAAACGTTCAGGATAATAGTTTTCTCTTTACAAGAATAAGACATTCCCTGTTTCATTTTCACAACCTCTTGGGCCATTGTTGTGATCATATAATTCCATTCAACATGGGAAAATTTGAAACTAATAGTAAAACCTTGACAGAGTTGCACAGAAATATAGCAAATTTCGCCACCATATCTGCATAGAAAACTATTTGAAATTATTCAAACAATAAATTTCCATTGCAAATTTTCCGCAAAATTCCAAACAACAAATTTCAAAACCTCACTTATTCTTCATTATTCTTCTTCTTAATATCTTCTCTTCTTTATTGGCCGATGCTTCCTGTTCTTAATATCTTAATATTTGAGTAACAGAAGGAGAAGGACAGAGCACGGTGTTAAAATTTTTCTAAATGACGTAAGTAAAAGTGTAGAAATTTGGGAATATTTTATATAAATGCCTATAATGAAATCTTCCCCACACGGTTACTATGTGCAGAACATTCCATTCCGACCATTCAGCTCCACTCTTATGAGTGGTCCTCAACCTACTGATGGCAATTCAGCAAGATTGACATCTGACCTACTGCAGTCGAAAGCCAGCCTTTAGGTGCCTTTACTTTCCAATCAAGTATTTCATTAAATATTGACTTTACTTGAATGTAATTTATTGCATGAGGGCATGGGGCCACCAAAAACTAACCGGAGACAAGTGTCTTTAGAGCGCGAACAAATGTTTTCCGGTGAATCTGAAAAAGAAGTGAATTTGAAATCTGGTTGAGAAGTTTTTATACTTTCCGGAGCCGCCTGATAGCGACTCTCGGGGGTGGTCTCTGATTCTGCTTGGTTGGCCTCTTGTGTTTGTTTCTCTGTCGGAATCGTGTAGATCGCGCACTGCTGGACTGGCCCCAGGCAGTGCAGGCATACAGGATGATTGGGAGTAAAGTATTGATGGGTGTTCGGTGGTATTTATATCGGTGGGAGCTACTGAAGTGGAAATGTGGGGGTGGGGCTTCGGGTGATTACCATCGCCGGACTTGATGAGGGGTAAGCATCTGGAAATTAGGGGTTTCCAGGTAGTTAGAAGTTTCTGACCGTCATTACGTTTGTTCAGGCAGGAAGGTCGCTTTTCGATTTCGATGGCCTCGCGGATTATCCGAGCTGTGGGGATGGTCGTAGGGTTCACAAAGTCTATGTTGTGTCCTGTCTCTTGATGTTTGGACAGGGCTGAGGACGGGACCGATGTGATAAGTTAGGTAAATAGTGGACGGCTAATTTGTACTTCAAAATTCCATTGGATTTCTTTTCCGTGAATGACTGGCCTGGACTGAATAATAACCTACTGTTATTATCGACTGAGTGAATTTTCTGAGCATTGAATCACTACAGAAAATAATGAATATATTTTTGTTAGTTTTTCATTGAGTTTCATTTTATGAAATTTGTATTTCACACTTTCTGATCATTTTTTTGGGGACTTTTGACATCAACCTCTCGCAAACAACTATATTTAGTCTCTCCGTTCGCGACAGAGGACGGTTGTGCTGATAACGACCACCCTCAAAGATGGCACTTGGATGTCATGATCGGAGTGGAATCCAAAAGGTGTAAGCTGAAAATATGTGTAATCTAAAATAAAGTTACATTTGAATAAATAATGAAGTGAAAGTTTGGAGGACTGGCGGCCTCCTACGCCAGTAACCGGGCTGGATGTTGACAACTATATATATAATATATCGCACTAGTATTTCTAAAGGGACACAACTCAAAAATCAATATGAAAAAAATCGATAAATATTTCTTTATCGATCATATAAACTGTATCAAGTTGATACAGTTTATATGATCGATAAAGATCATATCATCTGAACTATATCAAGTTGATACAGTTTGGATGTTAATACAACTTGATACAGTTAATACAACTTGATACAGAAATATTTACCAATTTTTTCATAGTCTCAACTCAAATATACCGATTTTTGAGTTGTGGCATTTTAGAAATACTAGTGCGATATGATCATGTGCTTTTGTATTATTCTTAACCGAAGGCCTTCCGAGAAGGAGGTGACCAGTAAAAATAAGTATTTTGTTAAGAGAAAAAACGAATGAAAAAACTGATGGTGGCAGCAATGTCTCGAGCAAGACCGCTGCGCCCTCGGATAAAGCTTCTGTTCACTATAAATAGAAGGAGCCTGGTCAAATACGCTCGAATGAGAAGCAAACATAGCTATTGAAATTAGAAAGAGAGAACTTTACTGGGTTGGCAACATTCATCACTTCTTTTTTTTTTCTTGCATCAACTGCTTTTAAATATGGGATGGATATAATTTTATTATCAAATAAAGTCGTACTAATGTTTTTAAATTCTATTTATTTGACAACTCTTATCAAAATCTTTTTACTAACAAACTTGATTCAACTAAAAATATTTTCAGACATCACATAAACTGAATAGAAAATCTATAATAGAGGGAATGATAAAAACATACATTCTAAATCTAACATTCTTCCCCATTTTGAAATCAAAATAAAAAACAAAATAGAAATTTCAAAATAACATTATGAATTTCACTCGAAACCATAACGATGCGGAGCTCTGACTTTTCGCCCCCTTGTGACTATCTCTTCAGTTTTCTCTTTGATGTCCTGCTTTTCTGTTATGTAGTTCTCATCAGTTTTACCTTTGACTTCATTCATTTTCTTTTCAATTTGAAGAAAATTCTTACTGTCCTCTTCTGTCGTAACTTCTAAAGGATGTACACGCTGAAACGGTCGAATAAGTTCCCCACTGTTCACTTTTATTTTCGCTACCCTTGGTACGTCATCTTTTTCAGGATAAATTTTCAATACTTTTCCTATAGGCCAGTTTATTCGCTTCACATTGTCGCTACTGACAAGAACAACATCTCCAATTTTTAAACTACCTATTTTCGTTTGACCTGTATGTACGAGTTCCGCTAGATACTTCTTTCTGAATCGGCTTCGGAGTCCATCTCTTATTTTTTGCAGGTATCTATGTCGTTTCACTCAATGATGTATGTCTATGATATCGCAATCTGGAGTTTCACTGGTAGATATACCCGAAATAAACATAGAAAGGCTGAGAGATTCTAAAATATCTTCATCCCAAATATAAGTTAAAGGCCTTGCATTAATTATGACTTCACAATCGCATAAAGTCGTCAGCAATTCTTCATATGTTAAAGTTGCTTTCCCTAAATTTCTACGAAGTAATTCCTCAATTACTCTGATCATGCGTTCCCATCAACCGTCCCACCAAGCGGCTGTTGGAAGATTCTGATGCCATTTTATTTTTCTAACTGTAGAGTACCTAGTTCATAACTTCATTCCCGTCTATCCTCTTCAAATAATTTTTTGCTCCAATAAAATTTGTTCCGTTGTCAGAATATATAACTGAAACTCTTCCTCTTTTCGCTATAAATTCGCCTCAGTGATTTCACCAGTTCCAGATGCACTGCTCGATATACTGCACAGGAAAACAGTACGATCCAGGACTTCTCTCCCCGTTTCAAGTACAATGGTCCAGCTAAATCTACTTCCGTTATCTCAAAAGCGGACACATTTTTTATCCTATCAGAACTTCGTCTCTAGCGAACCGTACTTTCAACTGCTCGCATCTGGTTTTCTGCCAATCGGATTTCGCATTCAGATTTATATTTGATTACTTCAGCTCTATAAAACTCCATATCGTCGAACTCTTGTTAAACTTCGGCATCGTTGAACTTTCCGGAAAATAACTGCTCTTTGAAGTTCTCATCAAAAGTGAATATTTGATCACTCTTGTCTTCCAATTGTTTCAAGAGTGATAGTATTTGTGCTTTACTCGTTTGCTTCGTACACAAGGCTACATCTAGGTCGCTGCTAGTATTGCGAAAATGTCTTCGCAGCTGCTCTCTATCTTTGTGCACCCGTACACGAGCCACATTTTGCGGTCGGATCGTCCACACAGTTGCAGTCGCGTTCCAGCTAACTCAAGCTGCCTATAAGAAATACTGTACTACACGTACACGGGCGTTCACAAAAGTCAAAATGGGCGTCTGCAATCAACTTGCTGCTGATCTCCGCCGAGATGTCATCGCGGCATCCGCCGTACACTAACCACAAACTTGCAGTCGTACCCAACCGCGTACACCGTCGTGTACTTTTTCTCATATTGGTCTCACAGCATTCAATTTTTGATGTCAGTTTCCTCAACTGCGAGTGTGGTTTATATGACCGAAAGTCGACCACAAAAATGTGGTTGGGTCAACCGCGAAGTGCAGTTCAGATGATGTGGTGCTGCAGGTTTTTCCGGGTTTTCCTGAAACTTTAAAAGCAAATGCGCCACTGGAATCAATGAAGTAGCCCCGGAGCGCCAATTAATTCTAATAGTTGTTTTTATTTTCATCGTTTTATAATTTCACAAATAAAAGTTATAAATCTAACAACTGCATTGGGCATTAGCCTCGTGTCCTTGGTAGGCCATGTTAATAACTCATCGAGCCACCTAGGGAGCATCATGGCTATTCGCAATCCGTCAGTCATGTAACGTTGCAGAATCATCCCAGCTTCAACTAGATAAATTCTCTCGAGAAAAATATCTGTTCGAGGTTGGAATCGAACTCACGACCTTCCGATCGTGAGTCGGGCGCGCTTCAACTGTGCCAATTCACCGACTGACCAAGCATCCTCAGTTCAGACAGGTTGGAGTCTAGCTTCCTTACCATTGCAGCTGATTTTTGTCAGGAGGACAAATGGGTTCATGACTAATAAGAGGACGCCATTTCACCGCACATCATTACTTCTTTTGTGATGAAAAAAAGAAGATAGGTACAGTTACCGGAGTCATGGCCGGTGAGAAGCCCCTCCCCCAAGATGTGCAATAAATAGATAGATGTATAGAAATCTGTTCTCAGTTTATTATTAAGATTATTGCAAAGGTTACAGGAGAAGAACTAGGACCACGAATAAAAATATGTACAATCGCAATCGCAATTTCCACACATTCTAAATTACAAGTCATCGTCAAATTATTCTTGTAGGTCATAATAGGCTTTATCACTTAATAGCTTTGTACATTTCTTTGTGAATATGATGAATTGATTTAATTGGGACATTTATTGTATATCCTGATTCCATTATATATCAACGAGTTTTGAACCAAACAAGTTTTTGGAATTGGTAGATTAAGTTCATTTGACCGCCTTGTGTGGTATGTGGTTGTAGTTGTAGATTCATAGTTCTCCCTTTTTTATGTATAATCGATAAGGTTTCTAATATAAATATTGAAATAACCGTAAAGATTCTGTGTTCTCGAAAAAGGGGTTTACATGAATCCCGCTATTTCGCTTTACATAGGTACCTAATAGCCCTTTTCTGCAAGACAGAAACCGACTGCATAAGATGATTACTGCAAACACTCCAAAAGGGAATACCACACCTTAGATGAGAGTCTATTAAGGCATAGTACACTAGTTTGGCCGCAGCAAATCCCAGTTTCCTTGAGATGTTTCTCAGTGCGAAACATCCTGATGCCAATTTTTTTGTTGATGTGTGCAATATGCTGAGAGAATTTTGAAATTTCATCTAAATACATTCCCAAAAATTTCAAAGTGGAGTTATTTTTTATTGTGTTATTGTCTAGAGGGATATCAGGTATATTACACTTGAATGCTAATATATTTGTTTTGCTGGTATTCAATGATAAAAGATTTGAGTCAAACCAATTCTTCGCTTTGGATAGCACTGCTGCAGTGGCTTCCCCGCTGTTGATTTCATTATACACCAATTGCAATAATGTTGATATAACTTCACTTGTTCACGCCATACTGATGTGCATTGAATATCCCATTACTGGTCAAAAATTTCATTATTCTTTTTTTTTACCAGTTGGGATGAGCAATATAGGCCTAAAGTTTGCTGGATCTTCATTGTTGCCGCCTTCATGCCGCCTTCAACAAGTATATTGAGCGTAGTCTCAGGAATACTGCGATGAAACAGTTAAATATGGAAATAAATAATAATAATAATAATAATCGTCTTTATTGTTTCGAAGCTGTAGTTACATACAAATTTAATACCAAGTGAGATGACTTTTTTTATATATCCATTCCATTGGAGGCAATGTTTAAAATCCTGTGATCGGGTAATCTGAAATGAATTTCTGTAAATATTATTTCGACCTTATAATATTCGTTTTTGATTGTTACGCTAGTTCAATATTATGTTTTCATTACTTAGTTAACAACTATATAATAGTGTGATTTATATCCATGCAGACAAAAAGTGTTCTTTATGGTCCATATTCAAGTAACAATATATTATGAGATTTTCACTGGACAGTGTTTCGCTATACAGTAGCTTTCTCAATAAAGTGATACTTGAATACGTATTGGATTTTCATCAATTATCGACAAATTCCATTGCATATAATTATAACCTTTATTAATGACATTATGAAATTGAAGTTTTTATAATTTGAATATATAATGAACATTATTTGGTCTGACAATTTGGAAAGGATTTGATGATTGGTTCAGACAATGTTGTTGACTTTTGTTTCATTGTCCGTTTATCAGCTTTCTATAAGATAATGCCCGTTCCAGAAGGGATGTCTGCTAGAACTTTGAAACTTAAATTTTTGGAGATAAATATTCTTAGGCAACCGACGTACTCTTTCATCCACCATGGCGCTTCAAAGTGATGAACTGGTTTTAGCCACAACCCAAAGAGTTACCGAAGTTTGATGCAAACAGTGACCTGTATACTTCTCTGAATGGCTCAAACCCAGATATTTTGCAAGGATGAAAAAGTATTTTTTCTAGACAATAATGTGACTGTAAAGGCATTTAGTCCCTTATCAGCTTCAAACAGTTCATTTCGTCTTCATCAGCAATGGTGAAACCATTGAAACGGATTTTCTACTTTATGCATGGGTTGATTAAAGTTCTTATCAAGATCCACTACATATATTGAATGCCCATGCAATTTTGTTCATTAAAAACGTCCATTAAATCGTTTTGTGCCTCTTTAACGCTTGTTTCAAATGTTTGCTCAACTTTTGGTAATTAGTGATGTAAATATTCTTTACCGTTACAGTGTCCAGACTGAATATTCAGAGTAAAATGATTTGTAGGTAGGTGGATCTAAACAGAAAGTGGTTCATTGTGACACACACCTATCCAAATAAATCCAGCTTCTCAACGAAGCCGATCATTTATTTAGTAATTCATCTTTCAGGTCAACTGATCCCGTCATAAGGTAACCTGTGTTTTCTGGCTGCATCACATAATCTCTAGGTTTGTTAAAACGATTAGAAGTTGAAGCATTAAGGACTTGGGGTAGATCAATCAACGACCATCTTCTCTGTAGATTCCAGGTCGGATTCTTCATTAACTTTAAGGTCAATGAAGGGTCACACGAGTAGGTATGGAAAGGAAAGGAGGTCTATCACAGAAGAGCCCTGCATTATCGTGATAAGGCTTTCTACGACAAGATGGCACCCGGTATTTCGAAGATTATGTTGGGCTGAGAGTCATAAAACCATTCGGCACGAATACACTCTAACTGAATGGTAAGCCATTCAGTTAGAGAGTAATAGCACCACGAGTGATGTGCCGTGATCACCATTCCATGACTCAATCTAACAAACGCGCAAAATGCAGCAAGCGGTAGTTCAAGAAGTGAGACAATGAACAAAGACATTCAACTTCGCCGAACCTTAGGATGTTAGAAAAACTGTTTCATCAAAATGACCAAGGTATCCAAGTAGCATGGTTTAATTAATGTTCTAGTTTTCTGCCATCCAATTTAGTAATTCACCATTCTATATCGTAGACGTTTGTTTGTCAATTGAAGTAAGAAATGCTATGTTGTTAAATTAAGTTATTGAATTTGAAACCACACATGAGCCTTTTAGTATTATTAGGAAAGAATATACGCGACGGGGTTATTTGCAATATTGTTTTTTATTTCAATTGGCTTGAAAATTAATATCGTCAGAACGACTTGCAAAATTACTGAAACAAATACAAATAAAAGTGCAAAGAAAAAAAAAGTATCAAAATGGCAACTGTAAATAAGATGAACATATTATGCATAAATATAAGAAGCTTAAGGAACAAACTGGAAGACCTGGAAAGCCTAATTAACACAACACAGAAACAAATCCACTTGATAGTTCTAACAGAAACATGGATATATGAAAATGAAACCCAACATTCCAAACTTTGAAGCAATACATATATGCCGAAATACAAGAGGTGGAGGTACAGCTATATATGTACATCAGGGAATACCTTATAATGAAGAAAACTTAAACATGCAATACTATGAAACAACAAAAATAACGCTTAAAGAGACTGGACTCAACATTATATCAGCTTATCGACCGCCATAAAAAATGTACAAGATTTCATCACGTGTTAGGAATCACACGTTAAAAGGTAAGACCTCGTTAGTCCTTAGCTCGCACAAGTTTCTCAACTTCTGAGAGTTGTCGTTCGTATGGGGGCGACAGCTGATTAACGGAAAAACAGATTTCAAACAGATTTTGTTTAAATTGGATGAAAGGTTGGATAGAATCGGGAAAAAATGTTTTATCATAGGTGACATGAATATTGACCTGCTCGAAAATTCCACAACAACCCATGAATATAAGCAGGTAATTTTAAGTAATGGTTTCGAAATACAAAACCAAATTGTCCTAGAGGGAGCTACTCGTATAGGCCTGACAAAAAATTCTACATATACCATGTCCTCATAAATAAAGGAATACGATGTAGCATCAACATCAAGGAAACTTGTCTCTCAGATCATAATATTATGGAAATCACAATAGATGATCCAAGTGCTATCAAACTAAGCTTGGTAAAAATAGATAGAAATCGAGTTAACTACAAAAAATTCAAAGAAAATGTTAGAATCCGACTAAATAAGTAGAAAATGAAAAACTTTGAAGAAATCATAAAAATCATTGTAGAGGAAAAAAATGCTGCACAGAAACAACAATGCTGAAGGTAAAAGAGGGAAATGAATGGATAACATCGGAGTTTTTAGACAGAATCAAGGTTTAATCATTTGAAAAATGATATTAATACAATGAGAGAGTACCTGAAAAGGAATTGGACTGAAAAACAAATGAATAACGCAGAAAGCAATTCAAAAAAGATATGGTAAGTCATCAATAATGTCATACATAATATCAATAGAACAAAAAGGAAAACTAGTATAGGCAGAATAACATTAGAAGATGGAACCTGTATTACAGATGACCACCAAGTTGTTAATAAATTCTGTAAGCATTACTCTGAGGTAGGAGAAAAGATCACGGAGAACATACAGGATACGGATTTGAACTTCATAGAACAGGAAAACAATAAATCCATATTTCTCCAGCCTATTGATAAAAAAGAAATTTCAACTATAATTCACTCTCTGAAAAATGATTCAGCACCAGGATATGATGATATAACTAAGGAGGGGTTGCTGCATATTATTGATAAAATCAGTGATCACCTAGTAAAGCTAATAAATGACATTATGGAAAAGGGATACTTCCCATTGGAACTAAAAATAGCTAAAGTGATACCTATATATAAAAATGGAAAACATGATAGGCTAAAAAATAACTACAGGCCCATATTACTGTTAAGTGTCTTCTCTAAAATAGTGGTGAAAGTGTTGAAAGTCAAAATAGTTAGATTTATTAATGAAACTTTCTGCTTTGACTCGTATCAAAATGGCTTTCAAAAAAAAAGTACTCTGAGTGCAACAACAGACTTATTGTGCTTCCATAAATTGGGGTTTTTTAGAACACCGGGGCAATTGAGAACAATTTGCGGGGTAATTGAGAACAATTTGCAGAGCAATTTTCTTAATTCGAAATTGGCAATATTCAATAGAGTTTTTCAGCACCTGTAACATGCCTGTGTTGAGTGTATCATTATCATTTTAATGACTTCATTTAATACTGATTTTCTTAAAAGATAGGAGTATATAAATTGATAGTTTATATTGCAAGATGAAATTCCAAAAGAAGCATCCATTAACCCAATAATGCTGATGCAGTTGTCATTGTAGAAGTACTCTTCAATGAAAATCCTATATGAGAAGAGAAACAATTCTGTACATGAAAAATGAGAATTAAAACTTCCTACGTTTTTATACAAGTGATTTAAAAACATAGGAAGTTTCAATTGTTATTTTTCATGGTGATGCCACATAGTAATGGCTACATCCATCAATTAATTCAATTCTGTAGGTACTGTTGTGTTGAAAATTGAAAATGAAAAATTTTTCTAGAAAAGCTAAATGACAGTTGGTAATGGATTCAAGTCTCTGCTTGTAGATGATGTAATGTAAGCTAATATTTCAGACAAGGATTGAACTGTTTCGCTTAATTAAATTTCAAAAATTCTAAAGTTACACTATACAATTGATCTGTTAAGTGGAAAACTGTCAATTAGTGGAAGAAACTCACAGATATATCGAATTGATTTGAAACTGTGGAGTGTTAATTTTTTGTATGGTCAACAGTTCAATTTTCTTGGTCTTCTGTAATCTTTGTAATTTGTACAGTGGTAAGTACTGGGCGACAATTCACTCAAAAGCCTCTAATAAGACCTTAAAGGTTTTTTTTGAAAGGCTCTCCATATGNTATTAGAGATATGGGATCTCGTTCTAGTCAGATAATTGTAGGTATCTCCATTAAGTGCGTACAAATGCATGTACGTTTTTATGTGAACTAATTCATTGTAAATTGTAGCTGAAGGAAATGTGAATATTACTAACCATGGTTTTCAGCTCTCAGTCTGTGTTATACCGGCCAAGCTCTAATAGCTCGTTTGTGAATCATAAATACTAACTGAATGTAACGGGAATGACCCCAGTTGATTAAAATGTACGTCGTGATACAATGATCCATGTTGAGCAGAGATGGCTGCCTCCAAGTTAACTAGCAATTTCATTCATCTAATTGCAAATATTGTTTTTGATAACTTGCTTGTTAATTGATCTACATGAAGTTTCCAGTTTAAAGTGGGGTCGATGGTATATCCTAGAAATTTTACGCTCTGAGGGACAGTATGCCTGTTAGTAAAGACAAGTGTTTGGGTTTCGTATGAGTTTAAAATTAGTTTGTTTGCCGTGACGTTTAAAACTGACGGATACCTATATTTTTGTGTGTATGGACAGCTATTGGCACAACTGTACAGCTAATTAAAGTTACTAGACGACTTGCCAACTAATAAACATTAGATTGCCAACTAATAAACGTTAGAGTTAAGAACTCAAAATAAGTCAATTATTGAAAGGGGTATATTTTTAGGAGGGATTCATTTTTAGGAAAGAAAGGTTTTGGCTTTATACTTCTCGGTCTCTTTTCAAAAGAAATTGTGGGAATGTTCCAAATGATCTACACATAAATTGATGGATGTAGCCATAACTACGTGGTAGGAAATCATAATGAAGAAAAGAGAAATGAAACTTTCTATGGTTTTCACCACTTTTATTTGTAACTAACGTTACTGCAGTTTCGTCCTATACGGACATTTTCAAACTTATACAAACTTATATAAACTTGTATAAGTTTGAAAATGTCTGTATAGGACGAAACTGCAGTAACATTAGTTACAAATAAAAGTGGTAAAAAACATAGAAAGTTTCATTTCTCTTTTCTTCGTTATGATCTACACATCTTTGTAGAGAACTTATTTTGAAATTAATTGCTTTCTTCCTTCCTTTGGAAGATTCCCATTTTTTTTTAAAAAGATGAAGTCAAAAATGTTTCGTGAAATGCAATAGATTTCGCTTATAATGATTGTGTAACATTATATTATCCTTACTGTTACCTCGGGAAATCCTAACTTAGAAAAAACTTCAATTTAATATGTCTAGCTTTTATTGCCACTCATCTAAGGGAAACTTAAGCCACCTTCATTCAATTATGTTCATTTAGACCGGAGACTATTTTGTGTGTCAACAGTGCAACTACATATATGGTTCAAAAATGCTGTTTCAATTATTTTTTGAGTGGTTAGACTAGTTTCGAGTTTTGTACAATTTCAACTAGNTTTTCGCTACCCTGGGTACGTCATCTTTTCCAGGATAAATTTCCAATACTTTTCCTATAGGCCAGTTTATTCGCTTTACATTGTCGCTGCTGACAAGAACAACATCTCCAATTTTTAAACTACCTATTTTCCTTTTACCAGTATGTACGAGTTCCGCTAGATATTCCTTTCTGAATCGGCTTCGGAGTCCATCTCTTATCTTTTGCAGGTATCTATGTCGTTTCACTAAATGATGTCTGTCTATGATATCGAAATCTGGAGTTTCACTGGTAGATATATCCGAAATAAACATAGAAGGGCTGAGCGGTTTTAAATTATCTTCTTCCGAAATATAAGTTAAAGGCCTTGCATTAATTATGGCTTCACAATCGCATAAAGTCGTCATCAATTCTTCATAAGTTAAAGTTGCTTTCCCTAAGTTTCTACGAAGTAATTCCTTAATTACTCTGACCATGCGTTCCCACCAACCGCCCCACCAAGCGGCTGTTGGAGGATTCTGATGCCATTTGATTTTTCTAACTGTAGAGTAGTCCATAACTTCATTCCAGTCTATCTTCTTCAAGTAGTTTTTTGCTCCAATAAAATTTGTTCCGTTGTCAGAATATATAACTGAAACTCTTCCTCTTTTCGCTATAAATTCGCCTCCAGATGCCCTGCTCGATATACTGCACAGGAAAACAATACAATCCAGGACTTCTCTCCCCGTTTCAAGTACAATGGTCCAGCTAAATCTACTCCCGTTATCTCAAAAGCGGACACATTTTTTATCCTATCAGAAATTCGTCTCTAGCGAACCGTACTTTCAACTGCTCGCATCTGGTTTTCTGCCAATCGGATTTCGCATTCAGATTTATATTTGATTACTTCAGGTCTATGAAACTCCATATCGCCGACCTCTTGTTAAACTTCGGCATCGTTGAACTTTCCGGAAAATATCTGTTCCTTGAAGTTCTCATCAAAAGTGAATATTTGATCACTCTTGTCTTTCAAATGTTTCAAGAGTGATAGTATTTGTCTCTTACTCGTTTGCTTCGTACACAAGGCTACATCTAGGTCGCTGCTAGTATTGCGAAAATGTCTTCGCAGCTGCTCTCTATCTTTGTGCGCCAATACACGAGCCACATTTTGCGGTCGGATCGACCACATACCATTACTACTTGTTGGAACGACAGCTCCAATGAAGGCCCATTTCAAAAGAACAACGTTAATTATTGTTCATGCTGGCAACGAGAAGGGCTTGATTCCCAAAGCTCAACTGATTTCTAAATCAAATTCAAATACCGGAAATTATCATCACAAAATGAATTTTACAAATTATGAAAAATTAATTCCTAACCTACCTCCAAATTCAGTCGTGGTTATTGGCAATACGCCTTATCACAATGTTCAGAAAGATAAAGCACAGACTTATAACAGTAGGAAACAAGATATGGTAGAACGGTTAAGGTCAAAAACAATTATTTTGACACAAATATGTTAAAACCCTGATTTGTACAACCTCATTGAACTCCATAAGCCAAAATTTAAAAAGTTTGAGATAGATGAAACTTTAACTCAACATGGCCATAATGTCTTACGATTACCACCCTCCCATTTAGATTTGAATCCCATCGAATTAGTATGGGCATCACTGAAGCAATACGTGAGAAATAATATTTTTTTTTAATGTTAGGGATGTCTAACATTTATGTGCAACTATTTTTGATGAAAGTTCAAAAAAAAATAATTATTTATCATAATGAACTATTATTATTAATTTATTTGTCATAATATTGAAAGGCATTTCAAATTTAATTTATTATTCACAATTTTTGTTGTTTTTTCTCAGAATTTTGCTCTTAGAATACTCGGATTACCCGAATTAATTCCTTAATCATCTACTT